TTATATAGATGAATGAGAGCAAAACAAAAGGGTGAATGAAAGCAGAGTCATTAAATCTTATTAAGATCTTAAACGATAAGATCGTAGATTATCTTATCAAAATCTTAAAGGATAAGATCTTATAAGACCTTAGTAAGATAATGTTAAGAAGTGTCTAAGATTTTTACTAGGGTAAGAGGCCGAACTATTTTCTTCACTCAATTTTATGTCCCAAAGCCTGAAGGTCAAAAGTATGCATCAATTTATTCTTTATCGTGTAAGAGAAAATCATTTTTTTAAAATAGCGCAAAAAATACGAGATTGTGCTGATATTTTTCACTTCTATCCATCAAAAGTTAGTTTTTCTTCAATGCTAACGTGATATTCGAAATCAGCATCGAAAGGTGAGCCAGTATATATCTGTTTCTAAACTTTTCAAGAACTTTCATTTTTCGGTAGATGTGAGGAGTTTTGATATTGAAAAGTTTATTCACGAATATTCCAATGAAAGAAACTATTGATATTATTTGTAATAAATTATATTGTACAAATGGAAAAATTGGACCAACTATACCTGGAAATCGTTTAAGAAAATTATAAAATTTCGCCACGACTAGAATTCCAAGCAAAACAATGCCTTTGAGAATATCTAGCTATAAAAATATGCTATCGGGCAAGATCAGCTTGTGGTAGCTAGCTAACCGTATCACTTTTATTGAATTAGCTAGCTATATCGGGTATGATAACTAGCGACTAGATATCGTACTCGATATATCGGGTTGACGAAAAACTCTGCACCTCAAAGTATATGGAGTAAAACACTGCACCTCAAGTATATTGAGTTAGCTATCTAAATCTCCCGATAGTCGATATTTTTTGCCTTCTTGGGAACTCACTTTCTTTTTAACGATCAATATTATGAACAAATTGATGGTGTGTGTATCTATGGGTTCTTCCTTCGCTGCAAAATTTGCTGAGATATTTATGCCAAATTTCGAGAAGTACATTTCAGACATTCTCAAAACGAGAAATAATTAATTAGCGTGGAGACGTTACATAGACGGTACTTTCAGACTCGTCGAAAACGATGCCGATGAAAAGGTTATGCTAAGTAGCTTAAACTCCCTCCATCTATCAATAAAGTTCACATTCGAACACGAGCAGAATCATAGAATCCCATTTCTGGACGTGTTTATAGAACGAAATAATGACACATTTGTTACCAGTGTCTATAAAGACAAATAAAATCGTTTATCTTTATTTTCACTTTTTAAGATTCGAGGATCTCTCAAATTGTTCTACTCTAACGACTGCATCAGTATTCCATAACTTCTTGCTCTTATGTCTTTTTTCACCTTTTGTGGGCACTAGGTAACAACGTTCATTCAGCTACATATATGGAAAACCAACACATATATCACAATATTGATCGCACGTATGTATGCTGAACATAATGATTTAATCGATCCTCAGTTCAGTCCGGCGAGAATACCTTTCGTCCATAATTCAGCTTGCCTGGTCATTCTTAGACCTTCCTAGCCGGGTAAATGCGGATCTCTCACTTAGTCCCTTCTTAACTAGAGTCATAAATCATGAAAACACAGTTCATGAGCATATGTTCGAATAACAAGACATCGTCGTCCAATTAGTGCAGTTCGCTGTATACTCTTATCATATGTGAGAGTTTGTTCTAATTTACCATCTCTGTCAATCATATGAATTTGTTTATTATCCCACTCATGTGTGAGCCATTGTCCATCTGGAAGAGAGAGAAGAAGATACCCGATTCTCGATGGAGGAAATGTGATGTTGTTGAGGATGTTCATTGATCGATCTCGTACATGAAACTGATTGTATTGACTATACAGATAAACTGTTAGTCCTAAATGACTGCCATCACATGAAAATCGAATATCTACAATCCCCTCATTCTGTTGACAGGACACAGGTGGTTGCCAACGTTTCGTCGTTTTCCATTCTTCATTCATATCCCACTCTTCAACAACTGATCCTTTACCGTGAAAACTCACCAACAATGTTTGATTTGAACATGTACATCTGCAAAAGTTTGCTGCATTCTTGTCTGACACTTGTTTGATTTGTGTCACTTCATTTGTTTCGGCATTCAACGAATGAAGAGCTCTCCCAGTTAATATCAAAAATCTGCCAAGAAATGATGACCAACAGATATCCAGGATACCATCCTCAGTCCACCGAAGTGTGTTTGTATCGTGATCAGTTCCATCAGTTAAACATACTGTAGTGTTACCACTACAGTAGAGCAAGTTCGTACCAGATGATCCCATCGCCCCATAACTTCCATCCGCTTTGATCTGTCTCTGAGGTCTGTTCGTGAGTTTGTTGAAGTCGAATTGTTTCACTTCACTGTCTCTCTTCTCACTTCTCTGTGGTGACCTGGACACATGACTCTGATGCTCTACCTTTTCCACTTTGATCATTCTCTTCCACTCACACTCATCACCACTTTCGAAGACAACTGTCGGTGACACGGCCTTCATATCTATACTCAGTTGCTTTATTTCATCCATCCATTGATCGAGATCGTACTCCACATAGTTCTCCTCTGCCATTCTCGTTCTAATGTCATCTGTGATTCGTTTCAGCTGGTTCTTCGGCTCAGCAACAATGTCAAACGCTTCTTCTCGTGCACGATCAGCAGCCATCTTCACTTTCTTCATCCACTCCACCTCCCACTTCTCAATCGCATCGAACACCTTTGCAGTAGTGGCATCACATGTCTGTTCGATGCTTTGTTTGAGAAGGTCAACATCGCTGATGATGATGTCGAGTTGTGTTGAGAGTTGTTGTCGATGTTCGTTGAAGTCTTTTCGACAGAACATCTGTTCACATCCAGAACATGATGTGATTCCAACACCTTTCTGACATATGTCACATTTTCTCGGTGTCGTCAACTTCTTTTCTTTTGGCAATGAAGCCATGTTCGATTATCGCTGAAATCAGAGAAAGACGAACTTTAGCTTAAATGTATTCGCTGTAAAAGTATGCTAATTCTGCAGGTTTTCGGCCTTGTTGTCGATAAGCGTCAATCTTCCTTCACAAATCTGAAGGAAACTTGTGCATGACTGATGTGTGTTCTAAACAGATTTCGATTGATATGATGATTGTCTCATTCAATCTTATCATGCACAGTCATCCTAGAGAAAGAGTCGAAATAAGACAGACATCGCTTTGCGTTGATGTAGAGACTAATGATTATTTACTAGAAGTGATTGTATTTTAACCTACCCTTTCTGTCTGAAATTGACTCTCGAATAGAAGTTTGCGTACGCTTTTATATTGTGGGTATTGCAGAGGATTATTCTCTACACTGTCATGAAGTGTGTCACTCAAATAAGAATGAAAAGTGTTTCTATTTTAATACTCATTTTTTGTCAAAAGCATGTGATTTACCTTTTATGTTCTGACTCAGGTAAGGAACGAAACTTTTCTTTTTTCGCTGTAGAAAAAAAGTGCAATTCTTCTTGACACATAAGCTGCAATTTTATTTTTGAAACTTACTATACCCCTAGAAAACAAAAGTTGGAATTGGTATTTCATTCATTACGATGATTTTCTGCGTGACTTTTTTAAAAGCAAATATACCGTTGGGTAGCTCATCGAATTCTCTATCGAACTGTCTATTTTG